AAACTGGTGGACACTTGAGTTGTGTGGCTCTGTCACTGTTAGAAATACAGCTGCTAGGAGCACAGTGGGTATAAATAGCAGCTGGCTAGCCCCAAACACTTCGTGCCTCACAGCTGGCCAAGGCTCTTAGCATGGCTCTACAGTCCTGACTGAGCTGGGCTGTGTGACTGAGGCATGTCCACTCTTCTCTGCTTGAGAGTCCCCATCTCTCCAGAGGGGCATTTGAGGCCTTTCCTGCTCTGCCATTCATTGTCTCATACACCTTCCTGGAAGATTGGGGAGGCCAGCAGTGGCAGTGACCAGTGGTCTAGATGTTCCTGTGTCAATACCAGAGGATCCCACCTGCCCATTTGGCCCAGGCAGGTGAGCTTCTGGACTGGCAAGAGAATTCTCTCACAGGGAGAGAATTGGAGACAGCCTCCCAGGCCTGGGCTGGTACCAGCTTCTGCTCCCAGGACTGGAGTCCTGCCCAAACCCCACTGGGCTCCATCTGATCCTAGGAAAGCAGAGGCCCTGTCATGGCCTTTGTGGGGCTGGAAGGGCCCCAGGTGGTGCTCTGTCTCCCACATCAAGCCTGTCCCAGGGACCAGATCCACTCTGTCTTTGGTTTGACTCTCGCTGCCTTAGTCAAGCCCTTGGGGTCCACAGACCTAGTGCTGGCCTTCAGGAAGCCACCTGTTCAGGAGCTAGGGAAGTGAGTGGCAGTCACTTCCCGGGATGTTGGGGTGAGTGCTCAGTTACTTCCCCCATGGAGGCCACACAGCTGTGCTATAAGACCCCGGAGACAAAAATCCAAGTCCTCGCCCAGTTTATAAATAAGTGTGAAGCTGTGTAGTCATAAAAATTAGAACAGCTCGGCGCTACTGGGCCACAAACTGATCCCAGGATCCTGGGGACTTTAGATTCTCATTGAAATCTTACATCATGTCCCATGTTGCAAGGGGAAACCAAGGTATGGAGGTCTTAACTCACATTCAAAAGTCCCCAGGAGGGAAGATGGCCCCTGACTCTGAAACCCTCAGTGGATCTGGAAGAGAAACGAATCTGGCTGGTGGGCCCAGGCAGGGTATGGCAGGGGACCCCCGGGCTGCAGCACGGGGGTGCTGTGGACACTTGCACACACAGAGATGGAGGCCCTGCCCCTCCTCACCCAGGCCCAACAGCAGGCATTGCTCCTCCAGCACCCGGTGGGCCCCTTTTCTCCCTTCATCCTTGGACTGAGGGAGGGAGCAGAGGGCACATTCTCAGGTACAAAAGGGGTGCCTGCCTTAGAATAGCAGGCCCCAAGGACTGTACAATGGCTGGGTGCATAATTCATGTGTCTGTTGTCTACAGGCAGAACATGGCTTTAAGGCTTTCCCTGGAGTTCTCTGGGGTTGAAAATGGGAGCAGGTTTCCCCTGAGAGCCTCTGGGGGAAATAGGGCCTCTCTGCTCTTAAAGGGACAGACTCCCCAAGGCCTCCTTCCCTGCAGGCAACCTCCTTCCAGAAGCAGGGATGGGAGAGGCTCCCCCAGTGTTCAGCCTGAGGTCTTTTTCTGCCCCATGTGCTCAGAACCACACTGAGCCCAGCCAGCCATGTGCTCTGAGCTTGTGAGGCTGGGACCATGGGCACACCTCAGAGTTGTTCAGCCTCCATACTGTTGGCAGCAAGGACTGGATAATCCTTGGCATGGGGTCAGGTGGGACCTCTGGCTTCCACCCGACCCCACCTCAGTAGCCCCCCAAAATTTCTTCAGAAATGGCTAAGTGACCTCTTGGAGCCAAAATCCTCTCTAGTGGGGAGCCACTGGTAAACATCCACACTTACAAATAAGGAAACCGAGGGAAGGAAAGTTCCCATGCTTGAGCTGCTCAGCAGCTTACCTGTTCCTTCCCAGCACTGTGAGTTTATTGTGCCTACCTCGCTCACAAGAAAGCCATATTATTTCTTAGGATGAGGCCATAATAACACAAGGTGACTGGTCTTTGGTTTTGTTTTTTTGACTTGTTTGGTTTTGGTTTTCACCATTAAGGAAGGAGAAGTACAAGTAACAGAGGGACACACACAGTAAGGTATCAGACAGAACTGGGCAGGACAAAACTACCATTTGTTGAGAAATGCTTGGGCTCCCATTGAAAACTTTAGAAAAGCAAAAGGCTGAGAAAAGAAAACCCAATGCCAAGGTTATCTCTGGGTGCACAATGACTCACTGGAAGTGTTGGTGCTGTCACCAGCTCTGTGGTTCCTTACCTTGGATGAGGGGTGCACAGAGGTCTTCTTGGTTATGGTTTGTACATTACAGGTCAATTAGAGCTGCTTTTATATGTATTGATTATGTCATCTTATAAAGCGGTAACAGAATTTTTTCCTTTTTCGATGAGTGCAAATCAAGACACTAAGACTCAAAAAAGCTGATTGTTTTAAAAGCTGAGAATGTGTCCCAGGTGGCTGTAGCAAAAGAAAGAAGCAGTTGGTGACCCTCCTGCCACACGGCTCTCCTGCTACACAGGGCCCAGCCTGGGGCTTCACCCGCAGGACGATTCCTGATGTTGGCCAAGGTGAAAACTGAGTTCTGGTCCTGGCCCTTCCCTTTGCAGAGCTGTGGACTTGACCAACAGCCAACAAGCACTTTGGAAGCCTGAGGGTATCACTCCTAAATTAGGTGCTGGGTGTGGAGAGAAATCTCAGAGCTGGTCCCTATCCTCAGGGCTCACAAGTTCTGGGCAGTGATGAGTGCACAGACACACACACACACATACACATGCATACATGCACAGACACACACACACACACACACACACATGCCTGTAAGGAGACGTGTCTCCACGTGTCTCCAAGGAGTGTCAAAATGATGCCATGGCTGGAAGATGGAGCAGCCCCTGACCTGGGCAAAGCAGGAAGGACTTCCCGGTGGCGGGGCCACTTGCACTGACTTTTAAAAGATGTGCTGAAGTTCTCTGGACTCCAGAGCACAAGGCTTAGACATGCAGAACTGACCCACAGGAGTGTGTGGCTAGAGATGTATGTCATTTGGGGACCTGTGGCAGAAGCCAGATGGGGTCAGATGTGAAATGTGAGGGACATAGCTGTGTGTGTCTGTGTGTTGGGTATTTGTCACAAGGACCAGAAACCTCACATGGCAAGGAGGTTCACTTAATGGGGTACAGCAGGCAGTGCCAGCCAAGGGCAGGAAGCAAAGACCAGTGGGCCCTAGGAGGTGGGGTGGCCTGAGCTGGCAGAGCACTGTGGACGGAGACATTGCCCTGGCATGAGAACTGAGATTTTTCAGACACCACCTTGAGCACTGCATGTGTGATGGCATGGAATCAGCACAGTCCATTTCACAAATGGGGAAACCCAGGCTTAGAGAGATCAAATGAGCTGTCTAAAGTAAGGAAGAGGCAGAGTTGAGGCATGGGAATCCAAACAGGTGACACCAGAACCCGAGCTCCTAACTTCTGCCCTCCACACCCTATTAGGACACCCAAAGCCCCGCCCCCCCCCCACCACCACCACCCTTCACTCTCTGGCTTCTCTTGAACGGTGTGCTTTCTCTGACTTTTTTTTTTTTATGGCCTCTCTGTCCTCTTGGGGCTTGGGCTTATCATGACACTGGGTCATCCTGTACTCGACTGTTTATGCTGGGACTCACTCTGAGCACAAATTATCCCAGGTGGGTTGACTGAGCCCAGTACATGGATTGGCTCAGCCTGGATTTTCTGTCCACCTGTGGCCCAGTCAGCAGCAGCCCACCCCTTCAGCAAGGTGGGGCAGATCTCCAAAAAGAAGACAGGGCAGAGCAGTAGACAGGTGACAGGTGTAGGGGTTTAGATTTTTGTTCCAAGGAGTGCTGGAGACATTAAACAGAGAAGTCATGTGATTGAATTTGTAAGTTTGGGAAAAAAGACCCGCAGAGCAATTTATTACTTGTGGCCTGCATTCTATGAATTGAAATCAAGCATTCATTGAGTTCTTTCTCTGGTCTGAGCCCTCATCTTGATCTGGGGGACTTAGTGGTCAGGAAGTCACAGTTCTCAGGCCCAAAAGTTCTTAGTTCCAACCAGAAGTTAATCACGTGGGTCGAGGACATCTGTGCCTCCCTGCAAGTCACCCACAAGAGCTTGTGTGTTGGGTATTTTTCTAGCAAAAGGGTCCTTCCATCGGATTTTAACACAGTTTAAAAGCTCGTACTCAGGGGTCAGACGGACCTGGGTTAAAATCCTGGCCTTGCTGCTTCCTAGCTGCGGAACCCAAGTCTTCCCTCCGGTCAGTGGAGCCAATGGTACTTAATGGGGATGTTTTAAGAGTGAGATAAGGGCCTGGAAAGCTCCTCGAGTTGGGAGGATCTCCAACTTGAGGCCAGTCTGGGCTGCACAGGGAGACACTGTCTAGGTCAGGAATCAGCAAACTATGGCCTGAAGGTAAAATTCAGCACACTCTCCAATTTTGTAAATAAAGTTTTATTGAAACATAGCTCTGCCCTTTCATTCATGTGTTATCCAAACTGCTTTCCCGCTACAGTTGCAGAGTTGAGTTGTTGCAACAGAGAATGCAAAGTCTCTACACTCTGGTTCATTATAGAAAAAGTTTGCCAAGGTTGGGTATGGTGGTGAATGCCTGTATTTCCAGCTACTCGGGATGCATAGGTAGGAGGATCTCTGTCCAGTGTTGGCCCTGACAAGAACACAAGACCCTATCTGAGAGACAAACTAAAAGCAAAAGGACTAAGGTGTGATTTGAGTGGTAGAGCCCATGCCAGCAAGGGCAAAGCCCTGAGTTCAAACCCTAGTCATGGCAAAAAGAAAGAAAAAGAAAAAAGGTTGCTGGCCCCTGGGCTTGCTGATTAACCTGAAATCATTCCAGTTGTCTGGCCTCAGTTTTCACAGCTTTCCAGTGAGTGGACTTGAATTAATTATCTTTAGAGCTGAAACAATCAGTCACTGGGAGGCCGGTGAGATGAGAAAGTGCCAGTGTCAGCCTCGGGCGGGTGATGACGGAGTCTCTCTCTGCCCCTCGCAGATCCTGGCCATCATTTCCATCATGTTCATCGTCCTCTCCACCATCGCCCTGTCACTCAACACACTGCCCGAGCTGCAGAGCCTGGATGAGTTCGGCCAGAGCACAGACAACCCGCAGCTGGCCCACGTGGAGGCTGTATGCATCGCCTGGTTCACCATGGAGTACCTGCTGCGGTTCCTGTCCTCGCCCAAGAAGTGGAAGTTCTTCAAGGGCCCGCTCAACGCCATCGACCTGTTGGCCATCCTGCCCTACTATGTCACCATCTTCCTCACGGAGTCCAACAAGAGCGTGCTGCAGTTCCAGAATGTGCGCCGTGTGGTCCAGATCTTCCGAATCATGCGTATTCTGCGTATCCTCAAGCTTGCGCGCCACTCCACCGGCCTCCAGTCCCTGGGCTTCACCCTACGCAGGAGCTACAACGAGCTAGGGCTCCTCATCCTCTTCCTCGCCATGGGCATCATGATCTTCTCCAGTCTCGTCTTCTTTGCTGAGAAGGATGAGGATGACACCAAGTTCAAGAGCATCCCGGCCTCTTTCTGGTGGGCCACCATCACCATGACGACAGTTGGATATGGAGACATCTACCCCAAAACTCTCCTGGGGAAAATCGTGGGGGGGCTCTGCTGCATCGCGGGGGTCCTGGTGATCGCTCTTCCCATCCCCATCATCGTCAATAACTTCTCCGAGTTCTACAAGGAGCAGAAGAGGCAGGAGAAAGCCATCAAGCGAAGGGAGGCCCTGGAGCGAGCCAAGAGGAACGGCAGCATTGTCTCCATGAACTTGAAGGATGCCTTTGCCCGGAGTACTGAGATGGTAGATGTCGTGGTTGAGAAAAACGGGGACAATAAGAAGGATAAAGTTCCAGATAACCACTTGTCTCCCAGCAAGTGGAAATGGACAAAGAGGACCCTGTCTGAAACCAGCTCAAGTAAGTCCTTTGAAACCAAGGAGCAAGGGTCCCCTGAGAAGGTCAGATCATCTTCTAGTCCTCAGCATTTGAACGTCCAACAGCTGGAGGACATGTACAACAAGATGGTCAAGACCCAGTCCCAACCCATCCTCAACACCAAGGACTCAGCACCACAGAGCAAGCCAAAGGAAGAGCTTGAAATGGAGAGCATCCCCAGCCCTGTCGCCCCTCTGCCCACCCGCACGGAAGGAGTCATCGACATGAGAAGTATGTCGAGCATCGACAGTTTCATCAGCTGTGCCACAGACTTCCCTGAGGCCACCAGGTTCTCCCACAGCCCTCTGGCATCACTCCCCAGCAAGTCTGGGGCCAGCACAGTTCCAGAGGTGGGCTGGCGGGGAGCTCTGGGGACCAGTGGCGGTAGACTCATGGAGGCCAACCCCTCCCCAACCCCCGATGCCAGCCATCGCTCTAGTTTCTTCATCGAGAGCCCCAAGAGTTCTATGAAGACCAGCAACCCCTTGAAACTCCGGGCACTTAAGGTTAACTTCATGCCGGGCGACCCCGGCCCACTGCTCCCCATTCTGGGGATGTATCACGACCCTCTCAGGAACAGAGGGGGTGCTGCGGCCGCTGTCGCAGGACTGGAGTGTGCCTCGCTCTTGGACAAGCCTGTACTGAGCCCAGAGTCCTCCGTCTACACCACAGCAAGTGCTAGGACACCCCCCCGGTCACCCGAGAAACACCCAGCAATAGCATTCAACTTTGAGGCAGGCGTCCACCAGTATATTGACGCAGACACAGATGACGAGGGACAGCTGCTCTACAGCGTGGACTCCAGCCCTCCCAAGAGCCTCCATGGGAGCACCAGCCCCAAGTTCAGTGTCGGGGCCAGGTCAGAAAAGAACCACTTTGAAAGCTCCCCCTTACCCACCTCCCCTAAGTTCCTAAGGCAGAACTGTATCTACTCGGCAGTGGGGCTGACGGGAAAGGGCCCCGCAGCTCAGGAAAAGTACAAACTTGAGAACCACATCTCCCCTGACGTGCGTGTGCTGCCCGGAGGGGGAGCCCACGGGAGCACGCGGGAGCAGAGCATCTGAACACCCCTCGGAGGGGGACTCGAGGGTGAGGTCCAAGGATGGGGGCTTGCCTGCAGCCACAGAGCTTTTCTGCATGAACCTGGAAACAGAAAGGCCCTGTGAAGCCCCCAGGCAGAGGGAGAGGCTCCAGAGAAGGCTCCCACAGACCTGGAGAGCCCAAACAAGTCCACAGGCATGAAATTGGCAAGCCATGGGGACATGTAGTAACAACTCTGCTCTTTAGATGATGGTAAGACCAGAGCTCACGGTCACCACTATCACCATTTCAACCCACCCCAGGCCATCTGTTGCCCATTCTCTCTCACAGTCCTCCATCACAGCCTCTGGGGACAACGGCTCCATCCCTCCTGGGTGCAGAAGGAGGAGGCCACTGGAGCTAGTGGCTGGTGTGGACTGAGTGGGTTGACCAATTTGGTATTCTGTGTGGCCCAACCATTTCTAGGAACACCTGTCCATCACCTCCTGGCTAGATGGCACAAGAAGGCTACAGGGAATGCTAGTGTCATGGAGAAATCTGCCCCATAAGCCACGGTGCCAGCGCAAAACCCTTAGGAAATGACTTCCTGACTGCAGTATTCAGTAGAACCTGTGGTTTTATTTTGAGATATCATCAGGGTGAGTTGCACCATTTGTACTCCATTCTCACTGCCCCCTGGCTATGTGGGACAAGTTCAGAAGGTGACATGCTGCCAGGGGAAGAACTCTGAGTGTTGCTTTAGGGCTTATAGGAAGAAAACACTCTCTGTATGTCTCTAGTTTAGACTCAAAAGATACGCAAGCGTCAAATATGGAAAAGAAACAGCTTACTCAAAGAGACTGTGCATAACTGAACAACAGAATAAAAAATCTAATTTCCTTTTTTACCTGCAAAAATGAAAGAAAAAGAAAACAAACACCACCCCTCATTGAAAAGCCCTGTGCAGACTTTTGGCTCCTTCCGGCTACGGCGGGGAAAGCGCCTACTATGGTAGAAATTCTTTTTTGTTTCCTGTGGTATCCCAGCTAATCAAAAAGTTAATAAAAAGCACTTTATGTTTTTCAAAACTAGGTTTACCAGGGACAGTGTCAACATCTTGCACTTTAAAACAAGCACGATCTCCCATGGGTCCCTTGTTGGCACTGCAGTTGGGTTGTGACAGTGAGTTGCACTGTCACCATATCAGAGCCTGGGGGCTCCTCCCTGCCCCTCTAGAGCTCGTCTCTGCCCCTCTTTGGTCAGGCGGGGACCTCGGCCCTCCGGCAAGGCCTCTCTTTAAGTCACTGGTACTGGAGATGGCACATGTCAGAAGGGCAGTGACGGCTGGGCAGTGGGTGTTTCATCCTGTCCTCTTTCTCATCCACCAGCCCTTGGTGTTCCCAGTGTCATGGTCTGTCCTCAAAGCTCAGTGCTTGTTCCTGCAGCCACCAAGGCAGGCAGTACCGACAAAAGCAATAAGTATCTGTGTGCATCCTGAGCGGTTCCCTGTATTTCTTGGTGTTGCTGTCCTGTTCTAGTGTGATGACCTGGCATGTCTCCTGCCTGCTTGTAGTCCAATGGCACAGTGTTGTTGGCAACTGCTTGGTGACACTGGGTTGAAGCACTGGTTAACACAGCATGATGGTGTTGACTCGTCTGTCAGAAAACACGCCATGTTATGACTGGTCTGCCTGTGTGTGGTCCGGAGAGCCATGTTGCCCTCTGAATCTGACATTGATGGGTGAGTCATAAGTCCTGCCTGTCCTCAAGACAATGACAGTGACAGGCATGTCTTCTTGATGGAGCATAGACATGGGGTTGGTTCACCTGTCTTTAGGATAATTTGTTGCTGCTCTACCCTATAGTACAACGTCACGACCCACCCATCAGTTCGCGATTATCCCAGAGTTGTTCTGCCCACCCTTCACTCACTGGCATGGGGTTGGGCCACCTGTCACAGGTATGATGACATGGGGTCATTCCACCATCCTTAAAAATGTGTGTTCCCTGTATATGAACCCAGTTCACACCAGTTCTCAGCATCTCCAAGGACCTGGGCTGTTTGCCGTGTTGTCATATAAGTACCACACGCTAACCGGCTGTGCCACTGGAGCTCCTATTTGCTGTGTTATCAGAGAAAACATGAACTTGATTCCTGCTAGGTATCTTCAGAGTTTTCACACAGCAAATGCAAAGGGACTGAGGCAAGGAGAGGGTGAGGTCGCCGTGTGCTGGTGGACGCCCCAGCGACAGGAAGTAACCACGTTTCCAGAGCTCTATGCTGAGTGAGCACAGTCCAGGCGGGGGCCTGTTGAGCAATGACCGTGGGACAGCTCTCTGTTGGCCATCTTCCGTGTCTCTTTGTTTTTCTCACATTTATGTCCACATCAGCACAAATGTGAAAATTCAGGGAAAACAAACAAATGCTTTTTGATAAAAGTAAATAGTTGTGATTTCTGATTCAGATATTTTTAGAGCTGATGTTATCTGTAAAAATTACTATGATAATATAGTCTATTTTACATATCAGGAAAGTGAATATGTTTAAATATAGCCATATATAGCAAGAAGGGATTCTCCACCCCACCCCTTCTTCAGATCAAGGCATTTCATTTGTAGGTTGAAGCAGATGAGAAATGTACAGATTGAAAGGATTTCTTTCTTTCTTTCTTTCTTTCTTTCTTTCTTTCTTTTAACTAATAACCAAGTGGTGCAACTCTCCTTGTAACCAAAGGCCCTTTCGCCTTGTGTCGTATAAAACCTGGCCCTCCTTTTTGCGTGTATTTTGTCTGACCTTAAAGTAGCATTTTATTGAGTCACTTTTGAAGGATGAATTCAGAAGTATCATTAAGAACCTACCTTTCCCGGCTTAAAAGCCAGAGCCCTATAGAGTTCTTATAGAAACAGAACCGTTGAAATTCAGCATATACTATGCTTAGAAAGTATTCTGTTGTTTTTTTTTTTTCTTTTACTCGTGTGTGTATGTATTGTGGGAATATAGCTTCTACCCTGTGCTCAACTCCAAACAGAGTATTATAAATTCTCTCAGCCCCTCCACCTGCCAAAAAGAACATACCCAGATTTTAATAGGTGTGCACCTGCCCTGTACCTGTGAACACACATGTACGTGCACCAGGAAATCTACCTGAGGGTCCCTCCTGAGAAGCTAAACTTGGTGGACGGGTCTCGGCAGAGAAGAGGCAAGGCTGTTTGAACGTCATAGTCCATTTCCACCCATTGCTGAACCAACCAGAGCAAGGTCAACTCAAGTCAATGGAGCTAGGGGCTGGAGGCACTCAGATACCTAGTCCCTTTGGTGAATTCGGTGGAACTTGTCTGGAATCCAGTTGAACTTGAGCTCCAACTTTGACTTTGTCAAAAAGGGCCCAGAACCAGGCAGCTGTGTGTCCCCACCATGCGAGGGGAATGTGAGCGGCTGGAGAGAGGTGGACAAAGTAGCGGCTTCACCTTTTTCTCTTTGGGTGTGAGAAAACAGCAGGTCTTGGGTGCAGTAGACTTTTCGTGCCTTCTTTAGGAATTCTATCTTAAGCACACTTTAAAGGGAAAGAAAAAAGAGCAAAGAACATTTGCTCCATGAAGCTCCTCTCTCTAAAGAGATCATTCCTGATCAATGGAGAAGGAAGAAGAAGAGAGAAAACCAAGCTCCCGAGAGGCTGTCCAGACAACGCCAGTGACACAAACCCCTTCAGACTGACTCCCCACCTCCCCTCCACGTCCCCCCAAGTCTTGGTAACTGTAGCCCCTGTCTCTGCCCTTTCTCCCAATAAGAACCTTTTCTAAGAAGAAACACAATGGAATTTGATTCTGTGAAACTGTAACACAGCGTTGATATTTGTAACTATTGTGCATTTCTGTTTCATTCCAGTCATGGCTGGATCCTCTAGTCCATGACCAAGGGGATTTTCAATCCACCACCGACAAGGGTCACTGAAGCCGGGTCTCTCTCTGTCCTTTCCTCATTTCTCTGCCAACTAGTTTCAAGCAACATAACCCTAGGCTTTTCAAATCAAGTAACTCTGAATCCAAGGAGGGCGCAAAGAAGAGCCTACCGGACAGGAGCCTTGGGGAATGTTTTTTGCTTTGGTTTTGGTTTTGGTTTTTCTGTAGCTGGGAAGCAGGCTGTGCGTCCCCAACCAGGGAATGGAAAGCTTGCAGCCCGGATCCCTTGCTTAGGTGACAGCATCCAAATGCTGGTCACCCAAACCAGCCCTGGCCACACCTAGAAATAAGAGTTACCTCTGCACTTTCTGTTGCCATTTTTGTGGCTCTAGAAACATCTGATATGTGACGACATCACAGAATGTCTCAGAGCAGTCTATTTTTTGTTCAGATAATATACATATATATTATGTATTTTTTAGCAAATTTCTAATAGGGCAATTTAGTCCACTTTCTTGTGTAATATTTTAGGAGTTTCAGTGTTGGTTCTTGTCATAGCTGATGTTTTGGGGTCTTTTTCATTTCCTGCCATTGCCCCATTATTTTTCCTTTCTTTGGATTCTGATTTTCTGGGGGTAGGAAAACTTTGGGGTCTAACTTCCTGGTGCAGCAATTTCCTGGTGTCAGGAAGTGTGTGTCTTTCTTCGTCTGGTCTGTGTGTTTCTCCTACTCGTTACTTTTAAGAATCCAGGGCACAAGTTCAGGGTGAGATGCAGGGAGTCTCCAAAAGCAGGATGGAACGCGGGCTGCTTGAGCTCAGCCCTTATATCCCCCAGGGAGCTCAACGGACTGAGTTTTCTCATCCCAGAGATCTTGGAACCAAAACCTCATACAAGCAAACTGGATGCTGGCATCTGAGATCCAGAACCCTCCGTGGTCCCTCTTGGCTGACTGCCCCCATGTCCAGCACCCACGCCCCAGTACCACCAATCAGACCTGAAGGTCTGAGCACGTTCATGGGCTTGCAAATATCAGAACGTCTGGGTCTTGGAGCCTCACCAAGAAACAGTGGCTGGATACTCTGCCACCAAACGCTGGGGAGAAATGTCCCCAGAAACTGCTAGCTCATAGTTCCTTCCCTTTCCAGCTGCCTGGCTCCACCAAGCAAAAGATGTGTGGCAAGGGCCATGGTATTTTTCCAGCTTCCACCTACCCAAGCTTTGGAGAGTTCTTGGACTGTCCTGGAATTAATTCCACAGGAGGTGGTTTTCAGCCTCGTAGGCAAAGGCCATCTCTCCCAGAGCAGGGTTTTGAGCGGAAAGGGATTTTCATCCAGGGATTCATATGGGACACGGAGAGCATGCCAGGCCAGCTCCAGTTTGTACCCATTCCCACCTGCCTGCCCCTCAGCCATGAGGAGGAATCAGAGATTTGAGCCAAACCAGAAACCCCCATATGCAATGACTGTCCCTACCAGATCAACCCAAGGAGAGGCTAGCCCAAATATTAACTTTTTGTTCTAGACTGTAACCCTGTTCAGTGTTTTCCCCTAAAATTCCTTGTAATCTGGTTTGAACCAGAACCAAATTATACATAATATTTTAAAAAAAATCTTTTTGCATAAGAATAACAAAAAGAAAAATAATTGCCCTCCTCCACTCCAGTAGTTTCCTAGGTTCAATGCCCAGAGAAACAAACTCCGTGGCCTGTGGTTGTATCATCAGGAAGGAGGTTGTGCAGTTTGGGTGTCAGGCCACCATCCCTGTTACTGTCTTAATCTGGAATTTCTCCAGAACCTTCCAAGTGGCTACTGAAGAATTGAACCTGTAAGAGGCTCTGTTAGTCCAGCAGAGCTTCTCCTCTCCTATCCCTAACACTGTGCATCCCCACAAAGTTCCTGAAAAAGTGGCCAGCAGTGGATGGAGCAGGTGGTTAGCCTGGAGAAGAGACCACCAGCTGCCAATGACAGCAAGTGCGGATCTGTGACAGGTGCTCTTAAGTGAGAGGGCCAGGACAGCCACTTTAGCTCACATTAAGGCAGTCCTCATTGGCTGTCTGCTCACAGAACCCAATGTTATGGGCGGGCCAAGGGGCTCCGTGCCCCGCTGTTGTCGAAAGGGAGGCTAAACAGTATGCCAGGTGGGTGTTGCCAACAGCCCTGGAATTGCACAGGAACCGGACCGAAAAATCAAGAGAATTCCGTTCTGGTGTGTGGGTGCATGTGTGTAGGTGTGTGTGGGAGGGACAAGGGGAAAGAACATCTGGTTAGCGGCTCCAGCCACTGGGCTAAGGGCACAGAGCACAGTTAGCAGGAGCTCACAGTCTAGGACCTGGAACTGTCATGGAGGTCGAAGCAGGAAGATGACAGTAGGGAACTCCCTTCCTTCTGCTCCGTGCCTAGAGCAAGTTCAGTGATGCTGTCAGTCGCTCATCCAAGCGATCCCCAATTGCCTAGCAGGTACCACAGTGGAGTGAGACTCTTGCTACTCTTCCCCAGGCCAGCCGAGGAGCAGCCGCAGAGTCCCCATCTCTGGCTGGCCATGCCACGGTGCTTCAGCCCTCTGTCCATCCCTGTGCCCTCAGAGACGCAGTAATCCACCCACGAGCCAGCCAGCCACTGCCTAGGCACCATTCCGAAAGGGCTTCTTTTCCATTCAATCAAACAGGATATCCTATTCAAGATCTTTGAAAACCTCCGCCCACAAAGTAAATCCAGAGAGGCTACAAGAGACACTCCTAGTCTGTTTACAGCAGAAGGAGGCTCCAGCAGCCTCCCAGCAGAAAGCCTGCTGCCCACCTCCACCCCAGCGGGCCTGGCTCTGGCCTCCTCCCAGCAGAGCATGCAAAGAGGTTTGAGAGCCCCCTCCCCTACAAGGGCATGATGGTCTTAGGCGTTTGTGCAAGGTGAAGCAGGCTAATGGGTGTGGGTGGGCAGACAGCAGCTGCCCTCCCCCAAAAACAAATAAAACAAACCGGTCTGTAAGCTCTCGCCCCACGGAGGCCGTGGCTCTGCAGAAATGGATTCAGGTATGAGGCCACAGTGCAATAGATCCAGGGAAATGTGGGGAACGCCCCATTTTGTCCCCTTAGGATGTGCTCCAGGCCATACATGGGTCAGCTGTACTCCCTGTCTCACTGAGATCAGCTGGATCTGGAAGGAAGGGGCAGTAGCACAGTCCATGAGGCTCTGACTCCTCTAT